TTGCTCTTCCTTGCTGTTCCATATGTTTGGATTCTTCTCTGAAATAAATTCCAAACATCAAGGAAGGTCCATTATCTAAAACTGCAGACACTAACTGATGGAAATCATGGGGGGTAGCTCTAACATTAGAAGCCCAAGTCCTTATCATTTCCTTTACATATGCAGAGTGCAAGCCAAAATTAACAATAGCTTGCTTAATTTCTTTTAGATCATTCATTGCTATTGGCGTCCATCTAGCTTCTCTGACTCCCTTTGAGACTTTAGAAGTTGACGCTTTGTCAGAATTAAGTATAGGGTATGCCGCTGAAACCTTTGGTAAGCCAGTTCTAATGGCTGGTGTTGGCATTGTATCCTGTCCTTGTGCCTTATTACTCTGTTCACCAGCTCCAATCATTTCTTCAATCATTTCAAGTCTTTTTATTATTGTCTTTATTATTGTCTCTTTTGAATCCTGAATCTCCTGACCTGCATGAGTTTCTAGTAAAGATTGTATGGTTCTTAGGAGTGCCATGATCTTCCTAAATGATAGAATATTCAAAAGAATACTGAAGCCTAGTAACCAGTAAATTAAGTTATCCCCATAGTCATATAAACCTTGCATGATATAACCCATTGTATTGGCAACCAGAACAGTAAAATTCGCATTGGAAACGAAAACTGCCATATTACCTATTATCTAGCAGGTGGCGCTGTTGCCAAGTTGCGACGAAAACAGAGTCCTGTTTCAGAGTCCGCCTAGCATTTGTTAAAAACTGGAAAATGTAAGTTGCTCAACAAAGTAAATGTAATTAAATCAATTCCAGAGACGGAACCAGAAACCCAGAATCCAGGTGTAGAGAGAAGAGCAACCTGGAAGCCGCTTATGCCTCCACGTGACAGAGTCACCCTGAGGGGTTGCAGCTTTCAGCAACCGCGTGCTCTGTTTTGTGCCACTTAAGAGCTGTGCTTGCAAGGGAGATTTAAAAACGACTCAGAAAAGAGCAAACCACGCGGCAGAGACTACGCGGGCCTGTGGAGTTTAAATCCACGTGGGGAGGCCAAGGCCGCCGGTGGCGGCTGAGGAAGGGAGGGCTCCCACCAAGCCGAACTCGCGGCCGACAGCCGAGCGGGGAAAGGAGAGGTTCTAAAACCAAATGTTGGGTGCCAACTGAAGGCGTAAGTCATAAACAATGCCACACCAGTTTGGAATTATGATTAATAGGGTGGTATTTATTTAAAGGGGAAAAAACTTACAGATCACTGTCAGCCCTCTGCGCAACCAGGAAGTGAGTCTAGTCGCCGGCGGAGCAGGAAGTGAAGAGAGAGAGGAGAGGGAAGTGGCCGCTTTTTTAAAGGGAGAGAGACCACGCCCCAATGGGCTGGTATCTCAGTGGCGATAGGCTGGAGGAGTGGGAGGACCTCCCGTAACAAATGGAATAAGTATTTGTGAAGCTGCTAAGTATTTAAGACCAACTCTTTATTTGGAGCTACTCTTGACATACGAGAAAAATATGTCATTCTGAGAAGACATCAACTTCCTTAAAGTCATATATGTTGTTTATATAATGAAATTGACACTATGTAAATTGTTTTTTTTTCTGTATTGGATTTCAATAGAGACCATTAGGCAAGAAATTTATGGAAGAACAACCAAATCTGACTTGTTAGCTTATGTTTCTCATAGTTTACCAGAAAAGCAAATGTGCTTTGAATTAAGTTCTAAAACTGCACACATTTCATGCTGATTTAACAATGTAATAGATGAAATCTATTCATGTAATACTAATTCAGATTTGACTTGTAGAATTATATACTACTCATACTAATCATTTAGAAAATTACTTTTCAATGTTTCGTATTTCCAATTAAATGATAAATATTAAAAACAAAATACATGTCAAAGCCAATTCACTTTCAAAGAGAACTTCTGGTCCAGATGGTAAATATACCCACTTGTATCAAACAAAGCTAACTTGTTACTAAGATTTAAATTTTAATTGTGTGTATGTGCCCATGGATAGAAGTGCCTGTGGAAGACAGAGGAGATGGAACAAAGGCATTGTGAGCTGTCCAGTGTGAGATCTAACTCAGGTCCTCTTCAGTAGCAGGATGTGCTTTATCTCCTTAGCACACTCTTAAGCCCACAAAGCCAGCTTTTAATGTCACATCTGAGATTTTAGTTAAGACAAAAACCTCAAAATGCCAAGAACTTGTATTGAACAAAACTTAAAATTTCTTGTTTTTAAAAATATTAAAAACTTTGTGATGTGTGTGTGTGTGTGTGTTTGTGGTGTATATGGATGTATAAGTGAGAGGTGTTTGTATATATGTGTGGGTAAGGGGGAACTGTGATAGACTTCCTAATTTATGTTAATAGGTATTAGGTCACAGTGAAGAAGAAAGAACCTGTTCAACATCTCAGTATGATGGGCAAACACATTAAATATGCACAAACAAAAATGACTGGACTTTATTATTTTTGCAGATTTTGACACTTTTGATGGACTGTCATTGATAGTAAGAAGGTGATGCATTTGTGTAACATATCCTATCGCACAAGAAAAAAAAAACAGCAGTTAAGAATAACTTACTTGCCCCACTAAGTCCATATAGATAATATTCAGTCTACGATCAGCAGCTTGCTGTTCCTCAGTGTGCTCTTATTTAAGACAGTTTGCAAATGTTCACTTCCTAAGGAGCAGTTACTTTTATACATTTTTACATTATTGCTGTATTCTGAGCTCTATGCTTGAACGTTACTGCCTAGCCTGCTGTTTACCACGTCCAGATCAGACTCTCAGTGACTCACACATATTTTTCTGATTCATTGTTTTATTGGCTCCCCTGCTTTTAGTGTCTCATCCTAATAATTTATGCCATACCCTGAAGAATAATGTATCCTCATATGAAATATAACATCAACAATGTCTATGCTTTGCATGGTACCCTTTTTTGGCTCTTTTGCCTATGCAACTAAAACTAAATCTCTTTATAGGGCTCTCAATGCCTCTACCACTTATATTTGCCTTTCTGTTTCTTCCCGTTAAGTCTACGCCCCCGCCCCCCCCCCCCGCAAAAAAAAACAGTTTAGGAAATACACTTTAGTATGAGCAGCTTTGCCTTTATTCCCCCTTTCTTCTTGTTGACATAATTTGAATGCTTTACTCTATCTTATTTCTTCCCCAGAAAGCATCTTAATATTGTTTTTTTTTTCTTTAGTATCCCTGTTCAGGCCTGGGGAGACTTCAGGGGTTAAGCGCATGCACGGTTCTTGGAGAAAACAAGCACCCTTCAGTCCCCAGCACCCCTGTGTCAGCTCACAACATACTCTTTGTCCTATTCCAGGTGATTCAGTGCCCTCTTCTGGCCTTTGCAGGCAATGTAAGCACATGATACACAATCCTGCTTTCAGGAAGAAAGCAACCATTACATAAAAAATAAAAGAAATCAGTCTTTTGTAGAATAATCCCTGGTCATTCTAATTAATGGCTATTTTTCCCCTCGTTTGGGAAGCACTGCCGCTTAATCCCCAACTCTGAGGAGCTGATTTTTTCCCCAAATTTTCCCCATGTAGCTCAAAGACCAACAAACTTATATACCTGCTCTGGGGAACTTTTGGAAATGTCAAAGAGTTGAAAAAAACAATTGACAATCTCCAAAATTTTTATCTTTATAGAGTAGGAAAGACAACAGATCAGAAGCAGGTTTACAACCTGGGCAGCCTTATTTTTCCTCCATATTCTGGATCCTAATAGAAAAAGGACCCACAGAAAAAGGCTACAGAGGAGGATTTTAAGAATTACACACCATCACAATTAAGTAAACTCTAAACTCTCCAAAGTCAAAAAATTAATTCATAAGCATTTTAACATGCAAGCAAAATGGGTGAAAAATTTGTTTGGAAACTCAGATTAAGGCAATTTATTTGATACATGGTTTTCTTTGCACCAATGGTAGACAATACTAAATATTTTTCTGAGACAGATAAATGATTTATACCAGAAAAAATGGAGAACACAGAGGAAAGTTTCCAGGTGTTTCAGCCTGAAGGGAAGAGCATCCTCATATTCTAATACCCTTCAAACAGGGAAATGTGGGGTGTAAAATAAATCTAAGCACTGGAAATCTGATATTCAACCGACTTTACTCATCATTTTCAGTTTGATCTCTTTTTCTAAAAGCCTGGGTCAAGATGGTTGGGGAAAAGACTTGGAGTAGGAGTCATGGTAATTATCTGCTTCCCATTCTCTTGAAAGCAACTTTTCCTGATTTCTGTGTTGATTACAGAGCCTTACACATTGTATGTGACTCTATATGACAGAAGAAAGAATGTCTGAGTCTTGGGGTTTCTAATTACAGCCATCCCTATAAGGGTATCAGCATGATTCACTTACAAAAAATCTCACTCACCTGTGAGTGCTTGTAGTCTAAACTAAATTCAGTAGGCACCCAGTAGCACACTTTTATTTATTAAAAGTCCATGGACACTAAAATCTGTTTGCCAACCTTGTGCTGATTGAAATGCGGGTGGCACAAAGCTGGGTTGGTAAGGAAGAGTGTATGGATCTAGCAGAAGTAGAGGGAGCAAGTAAGTATAACCAAATATTTCACAAAACATTCTCAAAAAACAATAGAACAAGGAAAAGTAGATAAATTTTATCAGAAGTGTGTGTATGTATGTGTGTGTGTATTCTCTTATGTACAGTCATTACCCTAACTACGCAGGATACATATAGCTCAGTAACATTCACTAGAGACTTGAGATCTGTCTCCTTTGGGTGAGGCTTCAAGTTTATTGACTAAGTGTTGTGTAGACATTTCTATGCAGTTTGAAGGGAAATCAGCAGAGGGTGCTGCCTCTTCAGATGTGGTTAATGTCTGCACCCATGTGGTGGGTTCACATGACAGACTGTCATTATGCAGAAGGAGAACTTGGTTTATAAGTGAGGAGTTTCAATAAGGTCCCGAGAAGACTTGCCCGTGAGTTTGGTGAACTCAAGAACCAAGTGTCACTGGCTTCTATGAACACGCTTCTTGACATCTGCTCAGTTCTGCTGCTCCTCTTAATGCTCAGTGAGTTACATTTGCCTAAACAATTATGCCATTTTCATACAACTATGGAAGTCTGTGCCTTTGTCTTCACATAGAAAAGTCATTTCTTCTTTATTTTTATTTTCAGAGAGGAGCAACGGAGACTCAGTGACCCAGACAGAAGGTCTTGTTACTTCTACAGAAGGGTTGCCTGTGAAACTGAGCTGCACCTATGAGACTAATGGAAGTCCTTACCTTTTCTGGTATGTGCAATACCCGAAGAAAGGCCCTCAGCTCCTCCTGTGGACTGCCACAGACAACAAGAGGACAGAGCACCAAGGGTTCCACGCCACTCTCCATAAGAGCAACAGCTCCTTCCACCTGCAGAAGCCCTCAGTGCAGCTGTGGGACTCTGCCCTGTACTACTGTGCTCTGAGTGACACAGTGAGGGAGACTGCAGGGGAAGCTGCACACAAACCAAGGGTGTAGGAGGGCTGGGAGGAGTTGCCCTCTGAGGGAGAGCTTTATGCCTTGTCTACATGGGGTTTACCCAGCTCCTGAAAAACAGTAACAGATCTCAAATCATATCCCTAGAAAACTAGGAATTTGGGGATATTCTGACAGAATAGGATGGAAGTCGTTGCCAGAGACAACATGGGTTTTGATCCCCTTTAATACTGTTCTCTCCTGAAGTGGAGGATCTCTCACAGAGAACATCTCCAGGAAAACTCAGACATGAGATTTATAGCTACCAAGATGTCTAACAAAATTTAGTGATTTAAATTCTCTGGCAATCTTCTTTTCTTACCCTATAAATTTATTACCAAATAAAAATTAAACTCTAGTATTTAAAAATCTGCTCAATCTCACCCCAGACATTATTTATATTTTTCCTCTCTTTGGTCCATGTTATAGAGAGTTCAGTCTAACGTCTAGTCTCGGTTTTTGTTCTTTTGTTGTGAATGGAAACCATAAAATAGACAACTTATAAAAGAAAACATTTAATTGGGGACTTGATTATAGTTTCAGTGTGTGAGCCATGATGATCACTGTGGCAAGCAAAGTAGCAGTCAGTCAGTCATATCTCTGGAGTAGTAGCTAAGAGGTTAAATTGGATCACCAACAAGAGGCAGAGAGAGAGAGAGAGAGAGAGAGAGAGAGAGAGAGAGAGAGAGACTGGACCTAGCTTGGACTTTGAGATTCCAAAGCCCCCACCAGTGACTCACCTCCTAGGACAAGGCCACACCTACTGTTCTGTACTAGACAGTCCACCAAGTAAGAATCAAACATCCAGATAGATGAGCTTATGGGGCCTTTCTCATTGAATCCTTCACACTCCCCAGTAGCAATCAATGAGTTAATCTTCTAAGCAAGCACAACTGCTGGAACCCTCGAGATAAGGACCAAGGCTGCTCCTTGTCTTTTCTATACACCGTGTAGGAAGCAGCCTGACTCTGAAAGACTCTTGAAAAGTTTTCCTCCTTCATGTCCACCCTCACAGGCCATTGCACTTTGCTTAAATCCTGAGGACATGGTACAGACACTCACCTGGGATTAGTTAGGTTCTCTGATAATTCTTCTGCAATGGAAGAAAGAAAGCCAAGGTTTTGATCCATCTCAATTCTGGAAACAAAATACTGGTTTAAAGAAAATTCTTGCTTTCTCTCGCACGACCCAGCCCCCCAGCACCCCTCCCCAACCCTGCCCTGCTGTATGCTAGGACCAGTGCTCAAGAACAGTTTTAAGCTCCTACACTAAGGCTACCCACCCAGAGCGGTGAGTGCCTGCCTACCGGGCAGGCCTCAGGGTCCCCTGTAAGGGAGCCTGGGCACCTTCAGCTCCAGCGCCAGGCTTCCTGTGCGCACCTGGATACCCCCTCCCCATGCTCCATTCATCCATTTGGCCCTGGATCATTGGGCTACCGGAGGCCCTGTTTAGTTGCTGAGGAATCCCATCTGGACGGGTGAGTGTGTGCTACCCAGGGGCGGACTGTCCCGGAAGAGAGCACAAACCCCCCTCCCCCAGCTCCTTCTGCAGGGCTGTTTTTCTCTTGCACGACCCAGCCCCCCAAGCACCCCTCCCCAACCCTGCCCTGCTGTATGCTAGGACCAGTGCTCAAGAACTGTTTTAAGCTCCTACACTAAGGCTACCCACCCAGAGTGGTGAGTGCCTGCCAGCCGGGCAGGCCTCAGGGTCCCCTGTTAGGGAGCCTGGGCACCTTCACCTCCTGCGCCAGGCTTCCTGCGCTCTTCTGGATGCACCCCCCCCCCCCCTCGCTCCATTCATCCTTTTGGCACTGGAGCACTGGACTACCGGCAGCCCTGTTTAGTTGCTGAGGAATCCCATCTGGACGGGAACGGTCCATGCTTCTACACTGAAGAGATATACCCAGAGAGTCAATCACAGCAAAGACTGGACCAAGACACCAGGCCTCTCCTGGCTCCCTTTGAAGGAAGAGATGAGAAGGCGCCAATGCAAGAATTCCTCCAACAACCTGAAAGGCAACATGACACCACCAGAATCTAGGGATCCCAAAATAAGAAGAATTGTACACCCTACTCCAGAAGAAATAGAAGATATCGACTCAAAAGTGAACTATATGAAAATAATAGAGGACCTTAAACAGGAGGTGAAAAACTGCCACAAAGAATTAGAAATTACAAAGAAAAAGGTAGAGGAAATGAATAAATCGCTCAAAGACACGCAAGAAAACCAAGAGAAACAAAAAAAAGCAAACAGGTTAGGGAAGTGGTTCAAGACTTGAAGAATGAAATGGAAGCAATGAAGAAAGCACAAACCGAGGGAAGAATGGAGATAGAAAATCTGGGTAAACGAACAGGAACTACAGAGACAAGTACTAACAACAGATTACAAGAGATAGAAGAAAGAATGTCAGACACTGAAGATACCATAGAGAAAATAAACACACTTATCAAAGAAAACAGCAAAATCAACAAATTCTCATCACAAAACATTCAGGAAATCTGGGACACAATAAAAAGAAGAAACCTAAGAATAATTGGAGTAGAAGAAGGAGAAGAAGGGCAGCTCAACGGTCCAGAAAATATACTTAATAAAATTATAGAAGAAAACTTTCCAACCTGAAGAAAGATATACCTATGAAGGTTCAAGAAGCATACAGAACACCAAATAGGCTGGATCAAAAGAAAACATACCCTCGCCATATAATAATCAAAACACAAAATATACAGAATAAAGAAAGAATATTAAGAGCCGCAAAGGAAAAAGGCCAAGTTACTTATAAAGGTAAACCTATCAGACTTACACCTGACTTCTCGATGGAAACCATGAAAGCCAGAAGGTCCTGGATAGATGTACTGCAAAAACTAAGAGATCATGGATGCAAGCCCAGACTACTATATCCAGCCAAGATTTCGTTCACTATAAATGGAGAAAACAAAATTTTCCAGGATAAAAACAAATTTAAACAATACGTAGCCACAAATCCAGCCTTACAGAAAATAATAGAAGGAAAATCACTAACCAAGGAGTCCAACAATGTCCACAATAACTCAATCATCTAGAGACCCTTCACCAGTGCAACTCAAAGAAGAGAAACACACAAACCCTACTACTAAAAAAGTGACCGGAGTTAACAAACACTGATCATTAATATCACTTAATGTTAATGGGCTCAACTCACCTATAAAAAGGCACAGGCTAAGAGATTGGATATGAAAACAGGATCCAATATTCTGCTGTCTACAAGAAACACACCTCAACCACAAAGACAGGCACCTACTCAGAGGAAAGGGCTGGGAAAAGGCTTAACAAGCAAATGGACCTAAGAAACAAGCAAGTGTGGCCATACTAATTTCTAACAAAGTTGACTTCAAACTTAAATCAATCAGAAGAGATGGAGAGGGACATTTTATACTCATAACAGGAACAATTCATCAGGATGAAGTCTCAATCCTGAATATCTACGCCCCTAATACAAAAGTGCCCACGTACGTAAAAGAAACATTACTAAAACTCAAGGCAGCCATCAAACCACATACACTAATAGTAGGAGACTTCAACACTCCTCTCTCACCAATGGACAGGTCAATCAAACAGAAACCTAACAGAGAAATTAGAGAATTAATGGAGGTAATGAAGCAAATGGACTTAACAGACATCTATAGATTATTCCACCCAAAGAGGAAAGAATATACCTTCTTCTCTGCAGCTCATGGAACCTTCTCGAAAATTGACCACATACTCGGTAGCAAAGCTAACTTACACAGTTACAAAAAAATATTAGTAACCACTTGTGTCTTATCATATCACCATGGATTAAAGTTAGAATTCAACAACAATGCTACCCCCAGAAAGTCTACAAACTCATGGAAACTGAACAGTCAACTACTGAACCATACCTGGATTAAGGAAGAAATAAAGAAAGAAATTAAAGTCTTGCTTGAATTCAATGAAAATAAAGAAACAACATACTCGAACTTATGGGACACTATGAAAGCAGTGCTAAGAGGAAAGTTCATAGCACTAAGTGCCCACTTAAAGAAAACAGAGAAAGCACATATTGGATACTTAACAGCCCACCTGAAAGCTCTAGAAAAAAAGAAGCAGACTCACCTAGGAGGAGTAGAAGACTGGAAATAATCAAACTGAGGGCGGAAATCAACAAATTAGAAACACAGAAAGCAATCCATAGCATCAATGAAACAAAAAGCTGGTTCCTGGAGAAAATCAACAAGATTGATAAACCCCTATCCAAACTAATCAAACGGCAGAGAGAGAATATGCAAATTAATAAGATCAGAAATGAAAAGGGGGACATAACCACAGAAACAGAGGAAATTCAGAGAATCATTAGATCTTATTACAAAAGCCTGTATAACACAAAACTGGAAAATGTTAAAGAAATGGACACTTTTTTAGATAAATACCATATACCAAAGTTACACCAGGACCAGGTGATCAATCTAAACAGACCTGTTGGTCGCGAAGAATTAGAAGCTGTTATCAAAAACCTCCCTACCAAAATAAGCCCAGGACCAGATGGTTTCAATGCGGAATTCTACCAGAACTTCCAAGAAGACCTAATACCTATACTCCTTAATGTATTCCACAATATAGAAACAGAAGGGTCATTACCTAATTCCTTTTATGAAGCTACAGTTACTCTGATACCAAAACCACACAAAGACTCAACCAGGAAAGAGAATTACAGGCCAATCTCACTCATGAACATTGAAGCAAAAATCCTCAACAAAATACTGGCAAATCGAATCCAAGAACACATCCGAAAAATTATCCATTATGATCAAGTAGGGTTCATTCCTGAGATACAGGGCTGGTTCAACATATGAAAATCTATCAATGTAATCCAGCATATAAATAAACTGAAAGAAAAAAAACATATGATCATTTCATTAGATGCTGAAAGCATTCGACAAAATTCAACATCCATTTATGTTAAAAGTCTTGGAGAGATTAGGGATACAAGGGTCATACCTAAATATAAT